GTAATGATCCGAAATTTTTTTATGTTTAATAGAAATTATTTTTATTAATTATTTATTGTGTTATCAAACGCAATTCTCATTCTCAAAATAAGAATAGAATATGTTATTAAACACATTTTTTTCCTCTGAAACTGTTCCAAGGCACAGAAATAGAAAAGAATTGTTTCTTTTCAGAAATAGAGCCAGAGAACAGAATGGTTGTCATGCACACCTTAAGTAACATTTATAAATAGCCAACAAATTCTAAAGAATTAATTTTAAAACAGAAATTACATTAAGGGTTTGCTTGACAACCTTCCCGGAATCAATTTTTTTTTTTTTTGTTCCCAGAAAGAGAAATGGATAGAAAATTTGTTTAGTAAAACCGATTTATTTTTTGTTCCCGGGATGAACTGACTTAATTTTTGTGTTGTCGAACAGAAAAAATAATACAAATTTTTCTGTTTTTTGTTCTTGGGCACAAAATGAGAAACATTTATTTCTCTCAGTCGCTCTCCACCACCATCATCATCATCATCATCACCACCATCATCCTGACACGCCCATCGCCACCATCACGCCACCGTCGTTGTACCACCAATGTCGCCGTCACCACGACGATGATGCCACCGCCACCGCCACCACTACCACCGCCACCGCCACCGCCACTTTCACCACGACTACCTTCACCAACCACCACCACCATCAATGCAGCCATTTTTGTCACCACTATGCCACCACCACTGCCATCGTCATCACCACGCCATCGCCACCACCACGACGCCACCAATGTCACCAACCACCACTCTAGCATCTTCGCAGCCACTGCCATCACCACCACCACCATGCCATCACCACCAACCACCACCATCGTCGTCGCAGCCACTACCATGTCATCACTAACTCCACCATGCCATCACCACCACCACCTTCATGCCACCACCACCATGCTGCCACCACCACCGCAACCAACCACCACCACCATCTTCGCAGCCACTGCCATCACCACCACCACCACCATCGCCACCACTACCACCACCACTATGCCGCCACCATTGCACCACCATCGCCACAACCACTGCCATCACTACCACCACCACTGCTGCCGCCTCCACCACCGTCGCTGCCACCTCCACACCATATGGAAAGGAAAGTGATGATCCAAAAAAAATTTATGCTTAATAGGAATTATTTTTATTATATTATTTGTTGTGTTATCAAACACAATTCTCATTTTCGGAATAAAAGTAGAAGATGTTATCAAACACATTTTTTTCTCAGAAACTGTTCCAAGGCACAGAAAGAGAAAAGTATTGTTTCTTTTCAGAAATAGTGCCAGAGAACATAATGATTGTCATGCACACCCTAAGTAACATTTATAAATATCCAACAACTTCTAAAGAATTAATTTTAAAACAGAAATTACATTAAGGGTTTGCATGACAACCTTCCCGGAATCATTTTTTTTAATTTTTGTTCCTGAGAAGAGAAATGGATAGAAAACTCGTTTCGTAAAACCAATTTATTTTTTTGTTCCCGAAATGAACCGGCTTAATTTTTGTGCTATGGAACAGGAAAAAGAATAAAAAAAAAATTGTTCCTGGGCAAAAAATGAAAAACACTTATTTCTCTCAGTCACTCTCCACCACCATCATCATCATCATCACCACCAACATCCTGACACGACCATCACCACCATCATCCTGACACGACCATCGCCACCATCATCGTCGTCGTCGTTGTACCACCAATGTCGCCACCACCACCACCATGACGATGTCATCGCCACCACCTCCACCCATCGTCACCATCATCACCACCACTACCATCGCCACCGCCACCTTCACCACCACTACCTTCACCAACCACCACCACCACCATCAACGCAGCCACTGGAAACAGAATGGTTGTCATGCACATCCTAAGTTAATTATGTTAAAGTATTTTAAACTCTTAATTTTCAAATCCATATGACGAGAGAGAAATTTGATAATTTGTGAAGTGGCAACGTCCTTCACGTCTTTTTTTGACCTCCCAGTGATGCCTTTTTTTTAACCCCGTATGAAAAGTTCCTTAGCTCCGCCTCATATATAAATTCATATAAAAATGCATCAATGCATTTCGTTCTTAATTTTTTTTTCTTTTGAGATTACTTCATACTTAATATTAAATAGGTGATTAGACAAGGGTGGCTTAGTTGGTGTTGTTAGGTATGGTTCATACTCCGCATACTGATGAGGGCCCTTATTGGCGGGGTCAGCAGAAAGTCAATTGGGCCCGTAGAGGCCTGATATTGTTGTGGGCCTCTAACTTATTATAATTTTTTTCTTCTTAATATTTTGGGCTTGGACTCATGAATAGCTGCTGTTAGGATTTTTTAAATCTCATTTATATTCACTTGTAAACCGAGTGACTTGTTACGAGTAGCGGTAAAGCAAATACAGATAAGCTGAACGTAGCCTATATTGATGAACTAGGGTAAATCGTTGTGTCAAATCTCTGTTCCCTTTCTCTTTAACATTTTTTATTTGTGTGTCAATTTTCAACAGGCGTCAAGGAACTAAGCAAGTGGGGGTGAGAGTATATGTTCGATCCTTCCCAATACAATCTTTGGGAGGAGTTTAAAGCCTTAATCCTGGGATGGACCCGCCCCAAATTGGATTAGTCGCGAAGCGATAAACCGATTGAAATATCTGCATCAACAAAATATTAAATAGGTGTTGGTCATCAAATTAAAAAAAAAAATTTGGCATTATATTATGATTTTTGTGGCTTACGGATCCCTGCTTACTAATGTTTGGATGCAATAACTCCATAAAATCGACTAATTTCAAATTCTCTTTGATTCTTGTCATTGGTAATTCAAGCGTGGCTCAAGTTTTCTTTCTTTCTTTCTTTTTGACATAGATTATATATTTTTCATCTTAATATGTAGGCAATGAATTTCATAAGCTACATGTGAGTTGGCCTTATGTTCTTGTGCGTTTTTTATTTGTTTGTGTCATTTATAAACAAATTATGGGCAATTATTTTTTATTTTGGCTTTCTGGATCTCTCAATTTTTTCTATCCTTCATACTCACATTTCTCTCATTCTATTTGTCTTTCAAAAATCTCTCCTTGCTCTGCTGGGGTTTCAAGTCTCTATGTAGCAATAGAAGTATGAATATTATTGTTGTGTATCTGTTGGGCACAATCTTTCATAGGGTTCATTAAGTTCGGGTTTGTGGTTTGTGGTTTTAAGGTAATTTTCAATTAATTGGTTATACATGTAATTCATGCGTTCTATTGGTATCTTGAATTGTTTTTAATGCAAGCTCTAGAGATTCTAACCCGTTGCCATTGTACGGAGGAATGTTATTAACCTAAAGATTCTGAACCAAGAAAATTTCTATTGTGTTATGGTTCTGTAATGTTCGATACTTTTTGGTTTATCTACTGTTGTTTTGTAACAACCAGTATCAAGAGCATGTGTTCTTGGTTCATTTTCTTGTTTCGGTTTACCAGTTGTGTGCTTGGTTGATTTCCTAATTTAGTAAAGAAAGGCTAAACCGGAGTTGAGGTAGAGAAATTTAATGGACAAGGGGACTTCAACATGTTGAGGGAAAATACGAAAGTTGTATTCGTGAAGTCTTGGTATTGTCAAACTGTTATGGACCCGTATAAGGGGCCCATTGAATGACAGGCCCAACAATGGACAACCCAAGATTTAAATCAAGTGTAATTATGGATAGTATCCATTAAGGATACTAATCCTAATACGACAGCGTAACAGACAGGCCTGGGTACTAAAGGTCCACATCATATTACCCACAGGTAACCTCTATAAATAAAAGGTAAACCCTAAAGGTACGTTACGCTCTCTCTCTCTTACTGTTATGCTGTTACTGTGCGCGCACACACACACCCTTTGGCAAAGCTGTTGTTTGTTTACTGTGCACAGAGATCTGCTTGAATCAAGAGTATCTCCTTCATAGATACCTTGGAGAGGGCACTAGATCCAAGATCAACATACCAGCCTATTGGGCTGGACATCTCTGTCTCCTAGACAGAACATTGGCGCTATCTGTGGGAAAAAAATTTCTTTGAATTTGACATTCCCACCATTCTGACTGAAGATGGCAGTTCGTACAAGGAGTAATAGCCAATAGCCACACCCTCAGAATCAACCACTGGATCCAGTCCAGGAAGAGGTGAATTGACCTTAAAATCAGCCTGATAATGAGATAGATTATGATCATGTTCATGTCATTGAGGATGTATCAGACACAGCCTCCACCCCAGAACCCCACGACCGAGTTGCGGCTCCAGCTCTGAATAATCCTCCCCAACATTTGGGCGATACTGTTGCTGCTCGCATTGCCCAACCTGCGGATCCTTATTCCAGGCTTGCTCAAAACACGGTCGCTGCAGTCTTACGGCGAATGGAGGAGACGGAGAATCGTAACAACCTCCAACGGCAAGATTTCTAGAGAATGCAGGAAGAAAATACCAAGAGGATGCAAGAGTTGGAGCAGCTCTTAGTGGGGATGGCAGGGCCTAGAGTGAGAGACGCCCCAGGCAGAGATGCTAATGGCCGAGAAAGGAATCACAACCCGGATCATCAAAACCGGGTTACTGAGGTAGAAAAGCAAGGGATGCCCAATCTTGGGATTACATCGGGTATGAACCTAAGAAACAATGTAAGGCTCAATCTTGGGAGTATGTTGGGTCCAAACCCAGAGAACATCGGAATGGGTGAACAGAATGGCAATGCGCAAAATTTGGCCTAGAATGCTTTGGCAAGAGCGAACGGGCAGAGAAATCGGGATGGTACACATCCCAACCGAGATGCCCAAACCATCAGAGGACGCGTGGAACCCGGTGGTTACAGGAGGAAGTACAGTAGGGGCAATACAATAACAGCCCCTTTATTGGTGAAATATTGAATGATCCTTTCCGGAAGATTTTGATTCGGCACGCTTGCTGAAATACGATGGAAGTCAGGACCCACAGGTCCACATATATGCATTTGATACGGACATGTATATCCGAGGAATTGATGAGCCTCTCATATCTGGGATATTTTCCATAACTCTGACTGGGGCAGCCCAAGCATGGTTCTCAACCCTACCTGCCAACTCTATTGGTTCCTTCGAGGAGTTTGGAGAGAAATTTCTGCTGAATTTTGCAACAAGCAAAAAATACCCAAAATCTGAGTTCGCCCTGGGAAAGATACGACAGAAACCCGGAGAAACTCTCCAGAGGTATCTTAACAGGTTTAAAGATGTTGCCTTGCAAGTGCCGGGTTTACAAGAGAATGTCCACGTCCACCTCATTATGGCTGTCCTGGATGGATCATCTAGACTAGCCAAGTCAGTCTACAAAGACCCTGTGAGGACGTTGGAAGAGTTCAGAACTCGTTCCAAGAAATACTTGGAACTCGAACAAATGGAGATAGCAAATGCGTTATCAAATGAAGGTAAAAGAGCAAGCCCAAGAAGGAGGAGCCCGACCCCAAGAGAAAAAGAACGACCCGGTAATAAAAAGAAAGACTCCAAAAGCAAGATCCTGAATGATAGTGATCGGGTTGGAAGATATGAGATGTATACACCGTTGAATGCCTCACATCCTCAAATTTGGAGGGAAGTGGCAATGATGGAGATGAAGAAAGTAGACAGACCTCGGCCCATATTTGATAGAGGAGGTTTGGATAAGTCCAAGTACTGCGCCTTCCATGATGGACCGGGTCACAACACTGATCAATGCTGGGATCTCCGAGATACCGTGAATAAATCTATTAGAGAGGGGAAACTACGTCAGTATGTGATCAAAACTCAGGGTGCCAAAAACAACAAAAGAAAGTCTGGAAACCGGAAGAAAAGCAAGAGTCTGGTCCCTAAGAAGAAAAAGAAAGAGGAAAGGAACCAGAAAGATGATTCCAATAACGATGAATTCCCGAAAGCCGAATTCGATTGTAACGTGATCAGTGGGGCTCTTGGAGGATGAGGAGACACTATAAGTGCTAGGCAAAAGTATCTAAAAGAAGTGTTTTCAATCCGGGATCGTCCTAAATTTAAGGATGACCCCAGCAAACCAGATCCTCCTCTGCTCTATTTCACAAAGGAAGATATGCAAGGTGTTTTGCCAGGGCATGTAGACGGGCTGGTCGTCACCGGAATCCTAGTGAATTGCCAGGTTAAAAAGATCTTCATAGATGTAGGAAGCAGTGTCGATATTATAATATGGGGTGCCTTCAAAAAAATGAACCTTGATGAGGAAGACCTCAAACCCTGAAAGACAACCTTGATAGCTTTTAATGGAGAAAATACACCTCTTAAAGGCTATATAGATCTCAGGTTAACCCTGGGAATGAAAGAAGCGTCCAAATCAGAACGAGTGAGATTCATAGTGGCCGACTTTCCGTCAGAATACAACTTTATTCTGGGGAGACCAACCATACACAAATGGGACATGCTGGTCTCCACAAAGCATCAAAAGATAAAGATGGTAAGCAGCAAGAATGAAATCATTACCATCAGTGGTGATCAAAAAAAATCCAGAGAATGCTACTTTGAAACAGTCAAAGGGAATAAAGCGGACATTTGAGTCCACCCCGGATATGTCTGGGGGATAAGGCCGATAAGAAGGCAATTACTCATCATTCAGGAAAATCTGTTAATGTGATTGAGCTGGATATGAGAGAAGTAATAATTCCCAGAACAGAACCAGATGGGGAATTAGAAGACCTCATTGTGGGAAAGGAACCTGGATAATTTACCCGAATTGGTAAGACCATAGATCCCCAAATCAAGGAAAAGTTAGTCGGGTTTCTCAAAAGCAACACGGATATCTTTGCATGGAAGTCATCAGAGATTTCCGGCATAGATCCAACTTTTTGCTGCCACAAGTTGGCGGTTTATCCTGGATCAGCACCAGTTTCGCAAAAGAAAAGGAAGCTGGAGCCAGAAAGAAAACGAGTTCTGGAGGAACATGTGAAGGAATTACTTGATGCCGAGTTTATTCGTGAAATACAATATAGGACCTAGCTAGCCAACGTTGTCATGGTGAAAAAACCCAATGTAAAATGGAGAGTTTGCACTGATTACACGGATCTGAATAAAGTGTGCCCAAAAGATTCTTACCCTATGCCCAACATAGATCAGCTAGTGGATAACTCAGCTGGATTCCAAATACTATCCTTCATGGATGCTTATTCGGGTTATAACCAGATTTCGATGTATCTTGAAGATCAAGAGAAAACTGTCTTTATTGCTGAAAAGGCCAATTACTGCTACAACGTGATGTCGTTTGAGCTCAAAAACTCTAGGGCTACGTACCAGAGGATGATGAACAAAGTGTTTGAGGATCAACTGGCCAAGAATGTAGAAGTGTACATTGATGATATGATCGTTAAGTCATTTGACTTGACGAACCATGTTCGAGATCTGGAGCAGACATTCCAAAAGCTTAGGAAATACCGCATTCAACTGAACCCGATAAAATGCGCGTTTGGAGTCCCGGCAAAGAAATTTTTGGGTTTCATGATAACCCATAGGGGAATCGAAGTGAACCCTTACAAGTGAAAAGCAGTACTTGATATGAAAGCTCCTCAAAGCAAAAAGGAGGTACACCAACTGACGGGTAGGCTGGCTGCATTAACTCGGTTCTTACCCAAATCAGCTAAAAATGCTCTCCCATTCTTCAAATTATTAAAGAAAGAAGTTGTGCAAGGTTGGAACCCGAAATGTCAATTCGCGTTCGACAAGGTTAAGAAATGCTTAGCAACCCCACCAGTACTATCTAAGCCAGAACCAGGAGATACTCTGATCCTGTACCTGGCATTGGGGGAAGAGGCAATAAGTGTTGTTCTGATCAAGGAAAACAGCAAAGGTCATGAGCCAATTTACTTTGTCAGTAGGGCCTTAAAATGTCCTGAATTAAGATATCAGAAGCGGGAAAAAGTGGCATTTGCCTTGCTGATTACTGCGAGGAGATTACGGCCATATTTTCAGGGACACCAGATAGTAGTCCGAACAAATCAACCTACAAGTCAAGTATTACATAAACCGGATCTGGCAGGAAGAATGACTAACTGGGCAATTGAACTCTCTGAATATTAGATAACATATGAAAGTCAGAAGGCCATCAAATCACAAGCTTTGGCCAACTTCATAATGGAGCTCACCCCGATTAGCCCAGAAGTGGGAGAAGCTAAAGATACTTGGAGGGAATATGTAGATGGATCCTCCAATGATAAAGGAAGTGCAGCTGGGATCATACTAGAAAGTCCAGAAGGAGTGTCAATAGAACACTCCTTGAACCTGGGTTTCCCAACTTCAAACAATCAAGTAGAATATGAAGCCCTAATAGCTGGGTTGATGCAGGCTAAGGAACATGGGGCCAAAAAGGTTAAAGTCTTCAGTGACTCCTAATTGGTGACTTCTCAGATAGAAGGAAAGTATCAGGCCAAAGGCCTTTTGCTGATGAAATACCTAAACAAGGTCTGAGAAATGATGGCCGAGTTTGAAGAGGTAAAAGTCACTCATATTCGTCGAGGGGAAAACAGTCGGGCTGACATCTTGTTTAAATTAGCAAGTACAAAAAAACCCAGGAAACCATAGGACCGTGGTACAGCAGAGCAGAATAGAGCCGAGTTGCGTAATGATAATCACATCGGAAAATGACTGGAGGCAATGCATAACGGCATACCTTGAGAAAGGGACATTGCCTGAGGACCCATTGGAGTTCAGGAAGCTGATCCGAGATGCAATGCAATATGCAATAGTGGAAGATCAGCTGTATAGAAAGGGGTTACACATTCCCATGCTGAAATGCTTGAACTCGGAAGAAGCAGAATATATGCTGGCCGAGATATACGAAGGAATCAATGGCCACAACATAAGGGATAGAGCTTTGGCTAGAAAGGCCCTCCGAGCTGGCTATTACTGACCGACTATGGAAGCAGATTCCAAAGAACATGTCAAAAGATGCGACAGTTGTCAGAAGCACGCCAGACTGATTATTTCACCACCAAAAGAATTGAAATACATCTCAGCTCCATGGCCCTTTTCAAATGGGGGATGGATTTGCTGGAACCCTTCAAAGCTGCGGAAAGACAGTTGAAGTGGCTGATTGTGGCCGTAGATTACTTCGCCAAGTGGATAGAAGCAGAACCGGTTACCACAATAACCTCGTCCAGGGTACAAAGGTTCTTTGAAAGAAACATCGTCTCCAGGTTTGGAATACCAGCTGAGGTAGTGACTGATAATGGAACACAATTTGCTGATAAACGGTTCTAGGAGTTTAGGAAAGACTTAAAGGTCAAAAACCGCTTTGCATCTGTAGAACACCCACAGTCAAATGGGCAAGCTGAAGCTGCAAACAAGGTAATTGTTGACGGTCTCAAGAAACGAATGATGGATGCCAAAGAAAGATGGATCCATCAATTATACTTTGTTTTGTGGGCATACCAAACGAGTACCCAGACAGCGACAAGGGAAACCCCTTTCAGATTGACATATGGATGTGAAGCCATGATCCGGTGGAGATTGGAGAACCCTCTTGGAGAAGAATGAATGCTATTAAGCAGAATGAACAAGAAAACAGTAAACTGCTATCTACTGAGTTAGATCTCATTGAGGAAGCCAGGGTCATAGCCCACTGCTAGAATATGATGGCCAAACAACTGATAGCAACTAGATATAACAAAAAAGTGAGACCGTGAGTCTTTGAGAAAAATGACTTGGTACTCAGGAGAGCAGATATTAGCAATAAAAATGCCAGAGATGGGAAGCTAGATGTAAATTGGGAAGGTCCTTACCAAGTTAAAGAAAAGCTTAGAAGAGGAGCCTATATCCGGTAAACAACAGAAGGCAAAGGAATCAAGATAACCAGTAACGCGGATAAGCTGAAAGTATATTACAGCTAAATCCGAGATCCACCTTTTAAAGTTTTGAAATATTTCAATTTATTTGAAG